TAGTATCGAAAAAGGACGGAACTTAAGGATTATGTTGCGACTATAGGAGGCTAAATCAAAATAGTGCGTGATAATTTTCCAATGACTTTGATTGATGAAGTACTTCAACGTTTGAAAAAAGCTAAGGTGTTTACTACATTGGATTTGAGAGATGGATTTTTCCATGTGCCTGTGGAGCTTAGTTCGAGAAAGTACACATCATTCGTAACTCATAATGGCCAGTATGAATTCAGATTTGTTCCGTTTGGTATTTCAAGCTCGCCAGCGGTATTTTGTAGGTATATCACAGCAGCATTTCGTGAATTAATTCAAGATGGAACAGTGGTGATTTATATGGACGATATAATGATACCAACGAAGGACGAATTGGAAGGAATTCAAAAACTTAGAAGAGTGTTAGATTTGGCAAGAACATATGGTCTTCAAATCAAATGGTCAAAATGCCAATTCATGAAAAGAACTGTAGATTTTCTGGGCTACGTAATCGAGAACTCCACAATCAGGATTTCAGCAAAGAAGGTGAAGGCGATAGATGATTTTCCAATGCCACGAGGTAAGACGGAACTTCAGCGATCTGGGGTTGATGTCGCATTTTAGACGATTCGTTCCGCAGTATACGTTGATTGCAAAACCAATGACTGATATGATGGGTAAAAACGCGAAGTTTAAAATTAATGACGAAGCAGTAGCAGCATTTCAACAATTAAAAGTGGCATTAACTAACCCACCAGTTTTAAAAATTTATGATCCGAAAGCATACACCGAGATTCATGCTGTTACAAAAGGATGCCGATGATGCTCAATTACATCCAGTCCAGTACATGAGTAGGAAAACCAAGCCGGCAGAACAAAATTATCACTACTATGAATTGGAACTTCTAGCAATTATCGAGGCATTGAAAAAATGGAGAGTATTCGTTTTGGGTACGAATAAGGATAGTGACCGACAGTAATGCCTTCGCGATGACCATGAGAAAAGACGACGTTCCTCAACGAGTAGCAGGGTGGGCCATGTATTTACAACAATTCGATTATGTGATCGAACACCGTACGGGTAGTAAAATGAGACACGTGGATGCGCTAAATCGTGCGGCCTGCTTATTGATGGAAGATGCGTTGCAGCATAGAATCAAAGAGGCGCAACTGTTGGACGAATGGATCCGTGCAGTTAGAAAAATTTTAGAGAAGAGTAATTACGATGACTACTATATTAAATGTGACATAATGTATAAAGATCCGAACAAGGAGCTCATGGCGATCCCAGCTGCTATGGAGCAAGAAATAATAAAAATCGCACATCGTCAGGGACATTTCGCTGCGAAGAAAACGCAAGATGTCATTAAGATGAGTTTCAATATCAAAAATCTAGGCACAAAAGTGATGACTGTGGTAAAAAGTTGTGTAGAGTGCATCTTAGCGGAAGCAAAACTGGGTAAAAAGGAAGGATTCTTGAATCCAATTGATAAGTCTGATAGACCGCTAAACACTTTTCATATGGATCATGTCGGACCGATGGAGAACACCCAAAAGCAGTACAACTACATCCTGGTGATCGTTGATGCATTTTCTAAATTTATATGGCTGTACCCGACAAAAAGCACAGGCGCTGATGAGGTCGTTGATAAACTGCGTAAACAAGCAGCAACGTTTGGTCACCCAAGGAGAATTATCACTGATCGCGGGGCAGCTTTCGTGTCTAAGAAGTTTGAGGAGTATTGTAGAGAAGAACTAATTCAACATTTATTAATTGCAACAGGTGTACCGCGGGGAAATGAGCAAATTGAGAGGATACATAGAATTGTGGTACCAATGCTGACTAAATACTGCATGGAGAATCCAATGAACTGGTACCGACATGTTGACAAGGTTCAGCAAACGATAAATAATTCACCCCCTCGAAGTATGAATTTTACACCATTCAAGATACTAACTGGGGTAGATATGCATGTCAAAGAAAATGAAACCATGCGCACTATTATGATGGAACATGAGGCTATAGAATTACAAAACGAACGAGACACGGTACGGGAAGAGGCTCGAGAAATATAAGGAAAATTCAGGTCGAAAATCGCAAAACTTATGACACCAAACAAACGACCGAAACGCAACATTCAGAAGGTGATGTCGTGGCTACTAGGCGTACTCAGTTTGGAACGGGGCTTAATTTGAAACCGAAATTCCTCGGGCCGTATAAAATCGTTGAAAGGCTTAATCATGGGCCACGAAGAACGTATGCAGTAGCCGAGGATATAAAAAAATGGCACCTCGCATTCGAGGCGAATGCTTCATCAGAATGGCCGAATGTGGCAATTGGCGGCGGGCAGAAAAAATAAATAAACGAAAAAACTGGCAACGCTGCTAGTTTTTGATTGTAGTTAGTTGGAGAGAGTGAGTGCTGTGGACGGGCGTAAAAAGGGTAGAGCGTCGATTTTAAAATACATTGAAATAAATATATTTTTGTAATAAAATATTATTGTAAAAAAATATTAATAAAATTTATTTATCATTATATTAATAAATTTTTCCTACATATATATAGCACTACTTATACAATAACAATATTTGACTGACATATACGGGACTACCCAGTGAAAAATTACAATTTCTAGAATCTACTCCGCAAATCAGAAGTTGCGAAGCGTATTAGTCTACGAATGTTAAAAGTATCCCTCGTTAGGCCTGCGGCGAGGGAGTTAGGGTGAACTACCAGTCGTGAGTGATAGTTGCTGCTTATCTGTTGTATTGACTCGTACACTGTAGAGATGCCAAGATCATGATGTAGGACGTCATTCGGAATAAAACATGAGGCGTCGGCGCAGATACGTAATATTTTTGATTGAAACCTCTGAAACATATCTAGATTTGACTTCGCTGCTATACCCCAGATGGGTATACCGTATGTCCAGATTGGCTTTAAGACGACCTTGTATAAAAGATTTTTATTGTGTAGAGACAACTTGAATTTGGGATTAAGTAGCCAGTAAAGTGAACGTAGCTTAAGTCCTAACTGCTTTCGTTTTGTAAAGATGTGGTGACGCCAATTTAGACGACGGTCAAAATGTACACCTAGATATTTGGCGTTTTCAGCTTGCGGTAATTCACGGCCATTCAGTCTAACGGAAGGGCAGGTACCATGAATCATCGTTGGCTTCAATGTGCCAAATGTCTAGCCATGCGTTGACGTCGTTCAGGTTACTTTGCAACAGTTTTGAGACTACTACAGGATCTGCGTGTTTCGCCATCACTACAGTATCATCCGCAAATGTTGCATTGTATGTTTCAGCGCTGAGTAAAAGATCTGCTGTGAACAGAGTATATAGAGTAGGACCCAACACACTTCCTTGGGAAACTCCAGCCTCTATCAGAAACAGTTCAGTGTGACAGCTATTCATTTTAACCATAAAATGCCGATCTAGTATGTATGATTTTAAGATGGAGATGTAGCTATGCGGGAGTTATAACGTTAATTTGTAGAGAAGTCCGGTGTGCCATACTTTATCGAATGCTTGTGTTATGTCGATAAAAGCTGCTGTGCAGTATTCTTTATTTTCCAATGCAAGTCTTGCGAAGTTGTAGACTTTATTTACTTGTTTAATAGTAAAGTGGTGCTCGCGAATCCCGAATTGGTGGTTGGGAATCAGACATCTATTTTCGATAATTGACTTTGGACGTTTTAGGAATACTCTTTCAAATACTTTTGACAACACAGGAAGTAAGCTAATGCGTCTGTAAGATGTTGCAAGTTACCGGGCTTTGGAATTAATATGATTTGGGCGACTTTCCATTGAGCTGGATAGTGCTCACAGGTGAAAATTACATTGAACAATTGGTTTATGAATTTAGAACCCACATCTTGTAGCTCATGTAGCACCTTTCCAGTTCATATCCTGGGGCTTTTCTGGTTTTAATGTTGTTTTTTGACCCACTTTAATTCACGAGTTAAGGACCTAGGAATAGGAAAGTCTAATTGATGCGGCGTGTGGAGAAAAGCTTCAACTTTAGAGTCTTTCAGATTATTTTTAGAGCAGCGTGGATAAAAGACTTTACCAAGGTGTACTGTAAAAGTTTTCGCTTTAGCAGCATCAGTTTTAGTCCTTTGCCCATTACTCATCTTTATTGTTGGTATATGCATCGTAGATCCATTAAGTATGCGTGTAGCTTTCCACAAGGAGTACTTAGTGGCCTTAGAGGGAGACAAGCTTGCTAAGTAAGTTACAATGCTCGCATATTTTCTTGCCTCTAGATTTACTTTGATTTTTTTGATGGCTATATTCAGACGACTCTTATCGTTAGGATCTCTCGTTATCTGTCAGACTACGTAATTTGCGTTTTTCAAGCAGTTGTCTAGATGTACAGTCTTACAATTCAGTGTAGACGGAGTTGCAGTCCGAGCTGCCTTTTGTACAATTTTGTTAAATTGTTTTACTGCGGTTTCAATGACATGATTAGTTTTAAGACGAATATGTTCGAGAGGTGCTCGCTAATGTAACTACGGGAAATAGCCCAATCAGTATTTTTGTTGTGAAGTCTTAGCTCTGGGATTTTTAGGACAATATTCGAATGAATTTCTAACAGAAGAAAAGAGTGGTCAGACGAAAGATCTAACGACGAGCGCAAGGTTAGGTTATTTCTGGGTACGCCCATACAAATACAAAAGTCAGTGACATCTGGTGTTTTATTTAGATCTGTTGGCCAGTAAGTGAGTTCGCCAGTAGATAGGTGAAATAGGTTGCTTTCTTGTATCGTTATTCCCAGCTCATGTACTCTAGGTGTTATTAATCTTGTTTTTATTCAGTTAGTTTACTGACCTTTTTACGTTCACGTTTTCTTTTTTACTAACCTCCAAGCCACACGCCGCCTTTTTGCGTGTGCTTAAAGGCTACGACACAATTAAAATGATAAAATAAATAAAGGCCATAATACAATGTACCTTAATTCTAAACAAATAGTATAAACCTTAATTCTAAACATATCGCCGCCTTTGATGGCTCCAGCAGACATCAACATTCAGATGGAATAGGTGCCAATTTATGGATTGCTCGGTGAACCTTTCCATTCTTTGTTTTTACATCAGTAACTCGAACCCAACCTTTAGCATCTCTTGTCACTTTCAGCACTCTCCCAATAAGCCATTGCTTAGAAGGCAAATTTTCTTCTGCAATTAACACCATATCACCTTCATTAAGGTTCTTCTGCTTCTTAGTCCATTTGACTTTCTGTTGAAGTTCATGAAGATACTCCGCCGACCACCTTCTCCAAAAATGTTGTTGTATGGCCGAAATTCGTAGCCATCTATCTTTATGAGACCATTCTTCGCTATCCACAGTAGGTTCCACAGTTCCAACCAACGGACCACCTGTTAAGAAATGTGCCGGTGTAAGAACGCTTTCATCATTTGGGTCGTTATACAAGGTTGTCAAAGGTCTTGAATTTAAAACTGCCTCTACTTCCGCAACCACTGTTGCCAGCTCTTCAAATGTAAGATGCGATTGACCCAATATTCTAGCCAAATGATATTTTGCTGATTTTACAGCCGCTTCCCATAGTCCACCAAAGTGGGGGATCTGGGTGGTATATGATGAAATTCAATACTATTGGCAGTACAATATTTTGAAATCTTGCCCTGTACTTGTTGATCAAAAAACTTGCATTTCATTTCTTCGAGCTCTTTACGAGTACCCAAATAATTTTAAGCATAAGCCGCGTCGAGCTACAAATCTTTTTAATGAAGCCAGGAAAGCCTTTGCAGTCAAATCAGAGACCACCTCCATATGCACAGCTTTTGTGGCAAAACAAATAAAAACAACAGTATAGCTTTTTGTTGTTCTGTACCCACGAAGTAGATACGTTTTTGTAATAGGGCCGCAAAAGTCCACTCCAGTCACAGTGAATGGCCTCGCTACGGTGACTCTAGAAGAGGGTAAATCGCCCATAATCTGATTACTCAATTTTGGATGGCACCTAAAGCATTGTAGACAGCTATCAGTAATTTTGCGTATTACTCCTCTAGCATGAAATATCCAAAATCGCTGCCTAACTATAGCCATAAGCGCTTGCGTACCAGCATGCAAATATTTGAAATTAAGAAATCGCACAAAACTGCAAACGATTTATGAGTTATTCGGTAACAAAATTTGATGTTTAGCATCATATGGTAATGCAGCCTTCGGTAATCTCCCACCAACACGTAGTAGCGGAACACCATAAGTATCTTTTACAAAAATGCTCAGATTTTTATATTTACTGTTTGCTGGCAATTCTCTATTCTTCAATAGCAGCTCAATTTCTTCTTTGAAATAATGTTGTTGCACACAGTAGAATATACGCACTAGTACTTCATCTAATCTTTCAGTCTTAGACTTAACGCTTCTTCGAAAGCCAAGAAGATTGGCAAAAATTCTTTGTAATTTTTCAAAATCGCTGAAGGTTTCAACCCACGTCACAAAAGAAGATTTCGAGTTATCCTCAGAGCATGCCTCATAAGGTATTTTTTTTTCAAATAATTAACAGTCATTATCGTACTATTACGACTCCTTTCTTGGTCAGCATTAGTATTCTTTCTAGACTTATTTGGTGGCCACTCACAACAATCTCTCTTCAAGAAAGAAGGACTTGCAAACCAAATAGAATTAGATAGTTCATCTATATACGCACCTCTTGATATTATATCCGCTGGGTTAGACTTTGAAGGAACATGCCGCCAAATATACGTTTTTGTCTGCTCTTGAATCAATGATACCCGGTTTGGCAACAAATGTGTTCCAATTTGATGGGTGCTCGCTCAGCCAATCTAGCACAATTTCGGAATCCACCCATAAATAGGTCGCGTCAATAGAAATTGAAAAATTGGATTTGGTTTTCGACACTAGTTTCGACAGCAATTCCGCAGCCAAAAGTTCCAATTTTGGTAAAGATAAAGTTTTTAATGGCGCTACTCTGGATTTAGCACTCCACAACTGCATTGTAACGTCGTTATCCACACATATTGAGCGAATATAAATCCAACACCCGAAAGCTCTTTTTGATGCATCAGCAAATCCATGCATTTCAACTCTAGCAACTCTTTTTTCTGCCAAAACAAATCGAGGCGCACTTATTTTCTTGATTTTCGCGGAATTCTATCCATTGACTATGTAAAGTCATTGGTAGGGATTCATCCCAATTAGCCTTCAATATCCACAAATCTTGCATGAAAATCTTCACCTTTACGATTAATGGGTTAATAAGCCCAAGGGGATCAAACAACTTAGATAGTTCCGACAACACTATTCTTTTTGTCACCGCTTTCGAGCTATCAAAATCTGGCCAAACGTATCGAAACGTATCTCCCACTGGAGCCCAGATGATACCAATGATGATTTTTATTATTTCCTCATCAATCATCCGAAGAGTCTTTTCTTCATCAGGTGCGAAATTAAGAAATTTTTCACTATTTGAAAACCACTTCCTTAACTTAAATTTTGCTGAGTTCATTACTGCTGATACTTGATTATATATTTCAAAAATTTCATCTTCATCGTTTGATCCACTGATCAAATCATCCATATAAAAATCAGATAACACCTTTCTCGATCCAATCGGATATTTATAGATATAATCTTCACTTAACTGTTTTAAGCATCTTGTAGCTAAATAGGGGACAGATGTTGTACCATAAGTAATGCTTCGCAAGCGATAGGCCTTTATGTTTTCGTCTGAGTAAGACCTCCACAAAATCGTTTGATAATTCGCATCATCATCAGTCACCCATGCTTGGCGATACATTTTTGTTACATCTGCCGTAATTGCATATTTGTAACATCTAAATCGCAGTATTATAGATAACAGGTCATCTTGAAGTTTCGTACTCGTGGAGTCTGGTAGTAGCACATACTGATGCGGTGCAAAATATTTTATCTTATCCATATCAGCTTCTTCAACGATCGTCATGTGTCCTAAAGAGAGGTACTCATCCATAAATGCGTTGTAAACGTCTCGTGTAGAGCGATCTCTACTCAACCTACGCTCTAGTGACAGCAACAGTCGTTTGGCAGCATTATAGGAACCACCCAAATCACTCACTGTTGTTTTAAATGGAATTTTCGTAATAAATCGGCCAGATGTATCTCTACAAATTGATTCACGGAAAATTTTCTCGCATTCCTCTTCTTCTTCGGTAGGGTGGATAGTTGCAGGCAAAGCAACTATGGATTTCTGTAGGGTTGGCAACCTTTCATTAAAATAAATTCGTCCAATCGACAACAAATCGGGGAAAATTTCCGCACCAATTAAAATATCTATACGCGCTGGCTTATTGGACATTGGATCAGCCATTTGAATATTTTTTGGTAAATTCCAGTCCGCAACATCGACATAACGATTAGGTGTGGAGCTTGTTATTTTCGGTAAAACATAAAATTGCAGACTGACTTCGAACTCATTTATTCTTGATTTAATGGTAGCCACAGTCTTTGTTTTAAAGCTAGTTACAACGTCTCCAACACAGCTAGCATCTAATTTACAAGACGTTTTTTTTAGTAACAGTTTTTGAGCAAGATTCTCACACATCAAATTTACTTGAGAGCCGGAATCTAATATGGCTCGCATTTGGTGATATTTGTCAAACTTGTCCGCTACCATTACTACTGCTGTTGCCAAAAAAACCTCGTTTTCAGTCATTACGTTCATAACTGATGACTGAGCTGTCTCCTGTGTTGACGTGGATGGCCAATTTTTGCATCTTTGTTCATTTGGCTCCAAGATATAATCTTTATGTAAAAGTTGATGATGAGATAAATTACATTTCGAGCATTTAACAGCATTGCATTCTTTTTGAAGGTGTCCCCTTTTCAAACATGCAAAACATACCTTTATTCGCCGTGCTACGTTAAAGCGTTCTTTTAAAGAAAGCTTTCTAAACTTGCTACAATCTGCAATATCGTGGCCACTGCCATTACAGACTTCACAAAGGTTTTGTAACTGCAAGAGAGGTTGAGTAGTTACGGTTATTTCTATACTCTTTTTGATAGTTTACAGCCTTTGAATTCACTTGATTACCTTTATGTTCCCTTGCATCAAGGTTTTCACATCGCCTCGTCAAAACCGCTGAACATTCATTCCAAGTTGACAGCTTCCTGTAATCCACTGATTCTTCCCATTTGACCTGCGAATATTCGTCCACTCTTTCCATCACCAAATGAATTAACATGGCATTCGCTATACCTTTGTAATCACCTAATTGCACTCAAATGTGCATTCGCTGCATTTAATACATTTCTTTAATGAACTGCAGATGGTTTTGTTAATTTTGGGACAGCAAAGAAGGCTGTAATATGTTCCTCGAACATCAACGCCTTTTTATCGAAGCATTCCTTCAATCGATCAAGTGCTTTGGGGTAATTGTCCTCTATGACATCAAAATCGTCAATAGCTGTCAGAGGCTTAGAGCCCAAGTGCTCTTTAAGTATCAAAAATCGTTCGCAGTCATCAAGCATTTCATCTTGGTTGATTAATTTATTAAACAAGGCTATAAATTTCGGAAATTCGGTATACTTCCCTTCAAATTTCGGTAATTTTACTTCCCGATGACTTCTTGGGCCCGGCAATAACGATGTTATATTCGTGGCATTCACATCTACCAGTGATAGCTTTCTTTTTTTTAGTAAACTCATTATTTTTGTTTTCGTGGCCACAAATGCATCTTCAACTTCTGCTGTAATTGCTTCGCTTGAAGAAGTATCTGCACCTTGGTTTAGTTTGTCGATATCTGCTTGCACACTCAGAAACTGTTTGAAGTAATTTTCTGTCAAACTAAGCCTGCAGTTAAGTTCTTCTGTTGACAAACTTGACCCTTTTTTCAAAATCATTGATTTTATGCGAGTGATGTTACCTTTGGTGCTGCCTCTCAACGCCTTCAATTCCGCCAGTTTCTTAAACCCTTTCTGCACGCCTTCTTGCTCCCCGTCGCTGAGTTCGTGAATTTCTGAGTCTAACATTTTGCAATTTTTTTTTTTTATGGATCACTATCCCTTTTCTGGATCACTATCCCTTTTATGGATCAATCTCCCGTGTTTCGGCACCAATGTTTTTATTCAGTTAGTTTACTGACCTTTTTACGTTCACGTTTTCTTTTTTACTAACCTCCAAGCCACACGCCGCCCCTTTGCGTGTGCTTAAAGGCTACGACACAATTTAAATGCTAAAATAAATAAAGGCCATAATACAATGTACCTTAATTCTAAACAAATAGTATAAACCTTAATTCTAAACAAATCTTAAGCCCCAATGAGTATGCTTGGCGTTAAAGTCACCTGCTACTACGAAATTGGGCCTGAGTGCTTTGAAATAATTTGCAAATTGATGACTTTTAATTTATTGTTTAAGTGGACAGTAAATAGAGGCAATAGTTATTTCGCCATATTTATCTTTATATATATATATCACCATATATACCATATATACCATATATATCATATATATCATATCGTACTGATGTGGCTGTTGATTGCAGATATTCTTCATTGTGATTGGTGAAAAATGATTGGTCAATATTATTTTTTATGATTATTGCTGTGCCACCACGGGCGTTACCAGAAGGATGGTTTGCGTTGTACATAGTGTAATAAGGAAGCCTCAGATAACTTCTCGATGTAAAGTGAGTTTCACTAATAAGCATAACATCAATGTTTTTGTCAATAAGAAAAGTCTTAATTTCGCAAATATGTTGGGTCAGCCCGTTAGCGTTCCAAAAACCTATCTTTAGACTTCCCATTATTTGGGTGTACATATTAGCGACACACGCGGTTAAGAGGTTGAGCATAGACCTCATTTGTTCCATAACCGTTTTGAGCATTGATTTAAACTCAGGCAAATCGTTTTTCTGAGCTGAGTTAACGTGCACTTGAGTATTTTTATTGCTAGATTTAACTTGTTTCATTCAATTTGATTTCTTGTTGCATTTATGTAACAGTTGTTGTTTTTCTACGAAGGGCTGGAAACGCTTTTTTCTGGAATTGTTTATAGACTGTGCACTTTTAATAGTTAGCCAGATGATTACCTTCACAAAGAACACACCATACATCATTGCCGGCGGATATGCGAGGACAATCTGAGGATAAGTGGTTTTCAGGACATTTAAAACAGCGTGGCATACGATTACAAAAATGTTTTGTATGACTATAGCGCTGGCACCGAGTGCATTGCGGCAATTCGCGCTTCTTTTTAGGCGCTTCGATTGAAATTTTAGTGTGCAGCAAACCAGTACAATCGTAAATTGATTTCGTCTTGTCTGAGGGCTTTAGGACAACGAAAAACAAAGGAAGTGGTTTTTTTGTAACCTTAATTTGCTTAATTTCATCAAGAGAAAATTAACACGATGTTGAAGCTTCTATCTTGCTTAAGCTTGTATGTGAGAAACTCCGTCTATTTTTCTGCAAGAGCTTTAGTAACTTTTGAGTAAATATCCGCTGTATTGGGCTGTATTTTGACTTCATTATTACCCAAAATTTTAAGAACATACTCATTTGGAACCACATCATTTAGCAATGCCCGCAATGGTTGAATGTTACCAACACCCGCTACAAATATTGGTGGTGGTTTAGGAATTTTAATTTCTTTAATTACTTTGGCATGTTCTGATGTTTCACCCCGATTATCAGCGTCATAGATGTCGATAACCTCAAAACGGTTAGGTATTGCAAGTCAGTACCTGTGAAGCTTTTTTTTTTTATTTTTGTGCTGTGCATTTGCAGGACTAGAACGCCCACGTTTACCGTTTTGGGGTGAATTAGTACTACTCGCAACGTTCTTATGTACTGCGTTAATAATTGTAGCACTGGTACTGGTTTCTTTTTAACAAAAATTGTTTTATTTTTTTCAGCTTTAAGCTTTTCATTTTCTCTTATTAGAGATTTACAACCTTTTTCTAATGACTTGATATTTTCTGTAAGATGTTTAATGCTGTCATCTAACTCATTAACTGCATCGAGTTCGTAGGTTGATCATTTTCTAGCGATTGTGATGAATTATTATTTAGTTTAATTTTATTGGCAGTGGCAATTTCACTGGCTATTTTTGCTATATTTGCTTCGGTCATTGTTTTGTGTAAAGGTTTGGTTGTTGGTTGATTATTTACTTTAATGTCATCTGCAGTAAGCATTACACAGCCGTTTAGTCCATTTTCCCTTATTTGAGAGTACCGCCGTGTAGCACACTTACTCATACACTTGTTTTATAATATAATTACAGAATGTTTATATGATTATTTTTTAATTATTTAAATTTTTATATAAAATTATTTAAATTTATTTACGTTTTATAAAGATAATTAAAACTTACATTGTGGCAACACCACATTTACAATTTATTACTTTCATTAAGAAAGCATATGCTGTCTCTATCAGCTGATTTTAACAAAACACAAATTTTTGTTTTTGTTCATTTTGCGATATTAAAATTTTATTTGCTAAAATAAAAAGTGCTTAAATTCACACAAAATAAACCTAACTGTTCAAAATCAGGCACTGCTTTTCAAAAGTTCACCTAATTAATTGTAAATCATCCAGGCGTTCACAATTCCGAAATTAAAAATTCAATATTTCTAACTAAAAACAATAAAAATTAAGGAGTGATCACCGTTCGCGTGGATTGAAAATTTACGATATATAAATACATATATATATATATATATATATATATATATATACATAAAT